CTCCTCCTCCTCCTCCTCCTCCTCCTCCTCCTCCTCCTCCTCTTCTCCATTATTCTGAAAACATCTCATTCTCCTCTTCCTCCTCCTCCTTCTCAAATAACATGGTTACCATTTTTCTCATATTTAGCAGGAAAAGGCACATCTTCCTTCACTTGGAAATGGTACATTGGACGGGTGGGAAAGCAGGCACTTCTGAAAATCAGATTCGAGGAGAGTGCGCTCCCATCGAAGCAAGAGATTTGTGGTCCATCAAGAGGAAGAGTGAGATCAGTGTCAATCCCCCCCCCCCCCCCGAAATGGGGCACTTCTGAACACGTTTGCTCACTATACCTCTCCCCCTGGCATCTTTCAAATCAAGCACAACACCCAAGATTTCTTTTCCATTTCTTCTGTGTAATGTTCTTGGTGGATTTTTGCATTTCCACCCTAATGAACAGCGCTGGGATTTTCTGGTGGTCTCTCATCCTAATTCATCCCTCCTTTTGAAAAACCCACTGGAAAGTCATTTCAGTGCTGCCACCTCCTGGGAGGATTTTTACATGCAAGACTAATTTGGGGGTGGGGGTGGGGGCATACTATGTTCCTTATAAGAGGAAAAAATTCAAAAGAATCTTTGATTCCATAGACCTTTAGGAAATGGAAGATTCCAGCTGACCAATTTGATTGGATATCTTTTCAGCCGCATTGTAATTGAATGAATACAAAATGTGACCTTTGTGAAAACTTTTGCATATTGGAGAGGCAGGTTGAAGCATCAGCCTAGAAACCAGGAGACAGTGAATTCTAGTCCTGCCTTAGACCTGAAAGCCAGCTGGGTGACTTTGGGCCAGTCACCAGGAGACAGTGAGTTCTAGTCCTGCCCTAGGACTGAAACCCAGCTGGGTGACTTTGGGCCAGTCCAATGCACATCACAAAGCTGTTGTGGGAGTGGAGGAGGAGGAAGGTGTGTGTTGAATATGCTCACTACTTTGAATTATTTGTAAAACTAATAAAGGTGGGATACAGATAAAATAAAATAAAGAAGCATAGATAACACCCCTCTATTCCATGCATGCACCACCAAAGCGAAATAATTCTGGTGCACTTTTCAGAAATGAAGTGAACTTTTCAATAGTATTCTAAGGCAGTCTGCTGACACAGACCAATCTTCTCCAAAGAAATGCAAAAAATATGGGGACCTAACATTATCCAACACTGTTTTTTCCCCCTTTGGGGTGTGTGAATTGCTTTGGTGAGGGATGGGAGCTGCCAATAATACAGGAAGATCAGTTTAACCCAAGTCGTGCTGTTTTGCCAATTTTGAGGGTGGGGGAGCAGGGAAAGGGGAGATCTCTGCTTCTCCACATTCAGGCCTCCCAGGGTGATCAAATTCCTTCAGAAAGCCATCAAGGGATTTAGCAGATGAAATGCTTAAGGAAAAGCAGAGAAGGCAGATAGCTCTTCAGACAGTCTGCAGGACTTGGTGGAGATGCAAAAATGTACGTTCTTTAGCTGCGGAATAGCTGTGCAGAAAAGAGTGAGTCTCCTGGATAAGCCTCCCAGAAGGGACTTTCAGGGTTGTGAACGTGGTTTTTCAATCTCGGCGATGTTAAGATGTGTGGAATTCAACTCTCAGAATTCCTCAGATGGGTGGACTTTTAACTCCCAGAGTTTCCCAGCCAGATTGCTTTAAGATATATGGGATTCAACTCCCAGAATTCTTAACCCAGCAAGATTTAAGATATATGAATTTCAATTCCCGGAAATCTTAATCCAGCGTGCTTTAAAATATAGGGACTTCAATTCCCAGAAATCTTAATCCAGCATGCTTTAAGATATATGGACTTCAACTCCCAGAATTCTTAATCCAGCAAGCTTTAAGATATATGGACTTCAACTCCCAGAATTCTTAATCCAGCATGCTTAAAAATATATGGACTTCAAGTCCAGAATTCTTAATCAGCAAGCTTTAAAATATATGGACTTCAAGTCTCAGAATTTTTAATCCAGCATGCTTTGATAAATGGACTTCAACTCCCAGAATTCATAATCCAGCAAGCTTTAAGATATATGGGCTTCAACTCCCAGAATTCCCCAGTCAGACTGCTCTAAAATGTGTGGACTTCAACTCCCAGAATTCCCCAGCTGCCAGCATCGGTAGGAAACTCTGGCTGGGAAAACTTCCCCCTGCTTGCTGGGGAATTCTGGGATTTGAAGTCCATATCTCTTAATGTCACCAAGGTTGAGGAGCACTAGTTCAGAAACTGGCCTTCTTCACACCAGGTTAACTGAGCTTGAAATGGATTGGGCTTCCCCGTTGATTTTTTATTTTGCCAAAAGGTCACAAAAGCGGATCACGGGACTCCGGGACATTGCAACCGTCCTAAATATGAGCCAGGTGCCAAGCGGCCGAATTTTGATCGCGCAACTTCATGGGGATGTGCCAATGGTTGAAAGCGTGCAGAACGGTCCTAAGTCGCATTTTTTCCCGGCGCCGTTTGTAATCAAGATGAATATCCTACCCAGAATCTTATACTTGTTTCAAACAATACCAATCAGGCTTGGAAAAGACTATTTTGAAGAGTTAAATAAAATTGTGTTGAAGTACATATGGCAAGGTAAGAAAGCGAGAATAAAGTTAAAACTTTTACAAGATGCCAGAATTAGAGGAGGTTTTGGTTTGCCTGATTGGGAGTTGTATTATCAAGCTGCAAATTTGATGTGGGCCAAGGAATGGATAACACTAAGAAAGACTAGATTGTTGACATTAGAAGGTCATGATTTGTTGTTGGGCTGGCATGCCTTTCTATGGTATAAGGGAACTAAAACGCAGGGCTATTTTAGAAGACATTATATACGGGAGTCTTTGTGGTTAAATTGGGAGAAGATCAAAAGACAATGTTATTTGAAAATTCCAGTTTGGTTATCGACCATTGAAGCATTTTCCTATCCTATAATTTATAAGAAGGAACAAACAGTTAGATATGGGGAAATACTGGATGAAGAAGCCTCCCCCCCCCCTATTTCTAATTGATTTGAAGCATTCCAAGTTGCTTCGGAGTTGGGCTTTACCAATTTCATGGGTTCTTCTCCGTAGAGACGCATTTCCCATGTAGTCTTCTGGCACCGAGAATATGGAGGTCACATTAGACACAAGCAATCCATAATCCATGGAGCTTGGCGATCAAAGGCTCCCTGGGCACATTCTGGGCATGGAGAACTCCCAGATGTATAAACAGATGCAGTGAAGATGCGGCGTTTTTATCCCTTGCTGCAAATTCACACAATTTCTGCTCCATTAGGGCACCGTAATTGCATGCATGGGAAACCGATAAGTACAATACTTCATGCACGCATCTGGTTTCTGGGTCACCAGCTGCATAAGAGTCCCATATAATGGTGAGGACAGGAACCGCTAATGTTCCAGATGTTACCAAACTGAAACTTCTGGAACCTGTCGTGATCAACCCCATCCCTCTGGGGCTATGAAGAGTTTGATGCGTCAGTGTTATGTGGAGGACTTAGATTATAGATTATAGATTGACAGAGTTGGAAGGGACCTTGTTGGTCATCTCGTCCAACCCCCCACACACCCAAGCAGGAGACCCTACACCATTTCTGACAGATAGCAGTCCAGTCTCTTCTTGAAAGCCTCCAGGGATGAAGTTCCCACAACTTCTGAAGGCAAATTCTGTTGATTGCTCTCACTATCAAAAAATCTCTCCTTATTTCCAGGTTGAATCTCTCCTGGATCAGTTTCCATCCATTATTCCTTGTCTGGCCTTCAGTTGCTTTGGAGAATAGCTTGACCCCCTTCCTCCTCTCTGGGACAGCCCCTCAAATATTGGAAGACTGCTATCCTGTCTCCCCTGGTCCTTCTCTTCACTAGAATAGCCAGGCCCAGTTCCTACAAGCGTTCATCAGAAGACGTCTCCGTGGTCATGTGGCTGGAATGACTTAATGCCGAAGGCGCATGGAACGCTGTTACCTTCCCACCAAAGTGGTCCCTATTTTTCTATTTGCATTTTTTTTACGTGCTTTCGAACTGCTAGGTTGGCAGAAGCTGGGACAAGTAACGGGAGCTCACTCCGTTTTGTGGTGCTAGGGATTTGAACCGCCAAACTGCCAACCTTTCTGATCGACAAGCTCAGCGTCTTAACCACTGAGCCACCACGTCCCCTAGAGTTGCTAAAACTGGAGCCCAATTTGAATTTGCAAGGTTTCCATTGCAAACTGACTTAATTCTTCCATCCAGCCCCTCGTATCAGAGATGATTTAAACAGGAACGTGTTGCCTTTAAGAGCTTTGCACCAATTTTTTTTCCCCAACCAAAACAAGAAAAATTGGGTTGATTGACTGCACCCAACAATCTCCAACCTTTTCTCTTTTCCGGCTCTTCATCCATCATGTCACTCGATGGAGATGTGTGCTGGACAGGGGAAGGTGGCTTTTTAAGGTGGGGGGGGGATTGCCTGTGGGCGATCGGTTGATAAATGACGTCTTGGAAAGCCTGCAGTCTCCTTAATGAATTCCAGATACTCACCCGATGGTTTTGGTAAGCTGTGACGGCGGTGAATCGGGTCTCCTCAAAGACAAAAGTCTTAAAGTTCTCCTCCGCGTACTTCTCACTGTCTTTCCGTGGGTCCACGTAAACTACGTGGAAACGGGGCTGGTATCTGTGCATGGAGTTCAAAATGATCTGAATGACAAAATGAGCAAGGGAAATTGTATAACTGGTCCGTTCGGCCACACCAAGGTGGTTAGCAATGAGAGAGACAGAGAGAGACAGAGAAAGAGGGAGAGAGAAAGAGAGAGAGAGACAGAGACACAGAGACAGAGACACAGAGAGAAAGACAGACAGACAAAGAAACAGAGAGACAGAGTGAGAGAAAGAGAGAGACAGAGAGAGAGTGAGAGAAAGAGAGAGACAGAGAGAGAGTGAGAGAGAGACAGATAGACAGAGACAGAGAGAGACAGAGACAGAGACAGAGAGACAGAGAGAGAGGGAGAGAGACACACAGAGAGAAAGACAGAGAGAGACAGACAGAGAGAGAGAACACTATTCCACAAAATGTTCAGCTTAGAAGAGGCCACTTCAAAGGCCACTTCTGGTTCTCGCTTGCCTCAGCTTGGCAAGAAGGTGATGGGCGAGTTGTCCACCATGTTGGATGGACATGATGGGGTTTGTTGCATCATGCAGCTGTTGAGTAGGGTTGCTCAGCCTTGATGACTTGAAGATGTGTGGACTTCAACTCACCGAATCCTGGAAGCTGACCTCCTCACATCTTCATGTCACCAAGGTTGGAAAACCCAACTCAAGATCTTTGCAGCTACATGACCTCACAGGCTCCATCGTTCCCAGCCAACATGGTGGACACCTCACCCACCATCTTCTTCTGTTGTAGAGGAAGGATGTGTAGAGTATCTTTTTTTAGGATAGGAGACGATCCCCAAAGCTTAAAACAATGAGCTATTTTTCATTGGGAAAGCTATGGTTTGAGTTTTGAAAGGTATAGTAGATGCTTTATATCAGAAACGTCTTTTCATCTTCCCAGTTTGGCCTACAACTTTGAGTCTCCCAATTAAGTCTTAATCCTGTTGAAGACCAGTTAAGGCCGATAAGATGCTGACATGTTGTTGTAATCCAATAGATCTGTATAGATCTATGGTAGCTCAATAGATCTGGTCAACAACTCCTTGATCAATTCAGGAAGAATTCAAAAGGACAACCTGATCATTCTACCCTTCAATTATTCAATTGTTCAAACATTTAATCTCCCCAGTTTACCCCACAACCTTGAATCTCCCATCCAAGTCCACCATGTTGGCTGGGGATGATGGGGCTGCAATGTTATTGAGTAGGGTTTCTCAGTCTTGATGACTTTTAAGAGGTGTGGACTTCAACTCCCAGAATTTTGGAAGTTGATTCTCCACGCATTGAATTTTCAAGGCCAATTAAGGCTGATAAAATCTAGACACAATGTTGTAACCCAAAGGATCTGTATGGATCTGTTGCAGCCCAATAGATCAGGTCAATAGTTTCTTGATCAATTCAGGAGGAATTTGAATGGGCCATCTAATCATTTATTCAATCACTTCATCACTCATTCAATCAATTTGAATGTCGCCCAACTCTTAATAGTAACCAGAAAACACCCAAATACAAAGAATTACTTTGAACAGGTACAAAAAAAGTACAAAAAAAGAGCATAAAAGTTCAGAGAAACCTGGCCTCCGATAATGGTGATTTATTTGATGTGACCAATGTTGGTTACCATTTTTTAAGCTAACATTTAATTTAAAAAAAATGTTTTAAGATGTTGCTATAGCTTGTGAAAAGCCCAGAGTCACACTTGTGAAATAGGCGTGCATCTAAATTGATGAAATAAATGGTGATGAAATAATTGATGAAATAAATGGTACCGCTAGTGGGGATATTCACCTCTCCCTCCTCATACCTCCCCCAGCTGTCCCTGGTTCTCCCTTCCGCAGCAACCACTTACATGCCCATTGTCGTCCAATAAATTGTTCGTCAGCTTCAGTTTGTCAAAGGACACAATTTGCTTCATCCACTGAGCTCCCCTCGCCGGCGAATCCGGGTGGTAGTGCACTCTCCCAGGAGTAGCAGGGTCAGCTTTGCCAGCCACCAACCAGGAGGAACTGTGAAATGCATACCTGCGGGGAAGCAAAACAAAAAGCAACAACAATCAGGAATTGATTTGACTCGCAACACTTGGAAAGGAGACCACCAAGAAATCCCACATTTGATTGGGACAGTGGGGGGGGCGACAAACATTTGGCAGATGTAGGAGATGCCAACATCCGATGACAGATATGGAAGGAGGAGGAGGAGGAAGAAGATGATGATGATGATATAGTAGTAGTAGTGGTAGTGGAGGAAGAGGAAGCAGAGGAAGAGGAGAAGGAGGAAGTACTAGTAGTAGTAGTAGTGACAGAAGAAGAAGAAGAAGAAGAAGAAGAAGAAGAAGAAGAAGAAGAAG